AAGAAAAAGACAAACTTCAATTTTGGCATCTGTAACAAATTTGTCAAGAGAAAAACTAAAAGGTCCAGAATTTTCAACTAATTTTTCCTCATAGCTTATAACTATAAGGAGTGTGATTTTTTTTAAAATCTTTATGCTATCTCAAACAGTACTAATTTGATGTTTTAAGCATCTTCTACTTCTCCCCTGCCTCCACAACTAGAGCAAACATTAACATAACATGTATGTTGATAGTTTTTTCTTCTTTCTCACTTTTCTTATAATGCTAAATACACAAGAAGCTGAAAAATAAAAAAAAAAAGATAGAGAAATCATTCTTAAAGCAAAGACAACTTACAATCCTCGGTATTTGTCAAGGCTGCTATACCAAACACTTGGAGAAGAGCAACCAGTAGAAAGAAAGAAATTCCCCAAGACATCGATCTTTGTTTAAGTTTATATCAAACTTACAGATATTCTTCAGTCTCAGCTAACCCAAATGAGAATACCTCCAAAACCTTCCAAAAGCTCACAATATTAACTTGTGTCCAAATTATTTCATTGCAATCAAAAAAAGGGCAACAGTCCCTATCCAATCCGCCGCCAACTCATCGCAAAACTTTACCACGAATTTTCATTTTATCCGCAAATAGTTCTGAAACAGACTCTAACTACCCCTCTTGAGCACAAGCTTTTCAAGTTTTCATAATTCAGACCATGTTCAAGAATTTAATGAAGGAAAGCAAATGGGGGGCCTATCATTTTTCACTTCCACTTTCTTTGTTCAAATCTTCTCAACTGAGATGCTGATGATTACTGAGCCGACAGTTATTTGGAGGGATTGTAAAAAAGGTTTGATCTTTATCCAAGAAACTCAAAAATGGTCACACTACATTTATTGCAGAGTGACGCATAACTATTTGGCAATTGCCAAGTTGGGTGGTGATTAGTTGAAACTCCTTTAATTCCTAAATAGAGATATTTTGCAAGAAATCAACTTCTGGGACCAGTGAATGAGGGAGACTTCAATGCAAGTTAGCCCACAGGGCAAATTAGTCATAATGAAAATCAAAACACGCCGGAGTATGGGCGTAGGGGTGTTGTTGGACCCGAGTAGAGAGTAGCTTGTCTTCGGCTTGGCTCGGTTGGTTTAATATGTTAGAAAATCGGTTACTTAAAATTAAATTTGACCCAATTTGACTATTCTTATGGCTAAATATTTAATTCTGGTTAAATTAAATGATGTGAAAATTTTCTACATTCTGAACAGATACTCGTGATATATTAATTTTCTCAGAGTTGATTTTTTGCGAGTGAGAAATATGATTCAAGTTAGTCTTTAATGTGCACGTAAAACGTTGGCTGTGAAATTTGAAAGGTCAATACACCTATCCACCCATATTAGACTCTTAAATAAGGATAACTTTGTTTATTATAATGAAAAAAAAGTAGTAGATGTCACAACAACTAAAGTTATACACTAAATGTTGGTGTTGGTTTCGACTACAGTGCATGCGCGCCCGCCCGCCGGTCGACTGTCTCGGCTTGTTCAGCGACATGGGCCTGGGCCTTGGACCTTGGACCTTGGACCTTGATCCTTGGTACTTGGCAGCTAATTTTGGGTCCAATACCTATACTATTTTTGCTGCAAATTTATTTGTCCTTTTCTTGGCCAAAAAAATAAAAAAATCTAATTTTAGTTGGCTTTTTGACCCAACCTATTTGGATCTCGGCATATACATTATATCTACACATGTTGACTCAACCTGATGATTAAGTGAAATTAGTGGTATTTTAACTAGTGTTCTAAATATCGTTTCGTAGTGCGCTATAGCTCAAATTTTTAGTAAAACGCGATGTGGCATTTTTCCTGAAAAGCTTACACGAATTGCTTACATGACATGCTTTTTTACGGTATTTTGTGTTTTTTTACGTTATTCCTTGCTATTTTACGACATGTTTCTGCAATGTTATTTAGACAATAAAATATTTAAAAACTTCTATTTTTTAGGGATTAGGGTTATATTTTCAGATGACAACAAAAAACTAATTTTTTTATAATGATAACAAATTAGAAGTTTGAAAATGAAAAGTCCTAAGTTGAATAGTGCAACATGTCTTGGTCTAGTTCTATTATATTATTTTATATGTTGGTATCTGACATTTAAATTAATAAATAAAAAGTTTAGATCTAGTGGTTAGATTTAAGTTGCAATCAAATTAATTTTTTTTTTTAAATGTACATACTTAAAATTAAATTATGACTTACCTTATTATATCTTCGTTGTTTGTTTTAGCATATTCACTTTATTATTTAAATATTCATATTAAGATATTTACATTAAACATCTATGAGAAATAATTATTAAATATTATTTTTGAATTCATTCAAATATTTTGAGTTTTTAGAATCAACCAACTAGTTTTATTATATGCAATATATATATATATATATATATATATATATATACATAAATTTCTATAAAATAACTTTTTATACCAGATAGCTTACGCAACACGTAACGATATTTACGCTACGCAGTATAAAGACCAAAATACGATGCATTACGCTATACACATTTTAAAACACTGGTTTTAACACCTGATAAAACGGTCTGACCATTTCATGCCCATTTGAACAACCTTAAGTGGGCTATTACCTGCTTTAAGTGACAGGTGATTGTTTTCATTCCCTACCTAAGTCGGAAGTCCTATAAATAGGACATGTCTAAAGCTGTAGAACACGCCCATACATCATATGAACTCTTGACATCTGAAAGCCTCGCGCGTCATCATAATGCTCAGTTCTTGCTCCGTTCAAGTTCAGCGGAGCTCGAAAGTCTGGAAGTGATACAGCTACTGAGACGTAGTCGTTATATCGTTGGGGACGAGAAGCTTGGATTCGTTTGCACATTATAGGGCGTATTCGTCTTGCAAAAAAAGCAACTCTCGTCTCGGCTTATTTTCTTCCCGCATCAACATTCTTGTCGTTATTTGTTGTTTTTTATTCAAGTTGTAAGAACTGAAACAAATATTTCAATTCATAGGTTTCCAATTGTAACAAACACTTAGTTTCTAATGGTTATCCCCCACATGAGTGGAAATCAATTTATGAATGTCTGCAGACTCTTATGTTAAATCCTCACAAGACTCTATTGTATCTGAAAGGTAATTTGTGGCTTTGAACCTTTTTTAATAATCATTATCACATGTACCAGTGGCATAGTGGACATAATGTCTTGAACTATTTCTCCATAGTGTATACCAAGGCAATGACATACACGCAATATAGCCTTAACTTCATTTCGTTCTACTATTGTATCCCTTTTTTTACAACACTTTGGATTCATAAGTGCTTACATTTGAAACGGCATTTACTCCACACTTATATAGGTGACTTCCCTATCAAGAGTATCGTGTATTACTCCACATTTAAAGGAATAAAGATTCATTAAAAATTCAGAAGACTTACTCTCACCACAAGCCACAATTAATTTTGCAGTTGGATTACTTTAGGGAAGAGCTTTTGATATTCTTATGTTCCAACTTCCAAGTGTTTCGCGGATTTTTCATAGCTTAGTTTTCCATCCGACCAAGTTCATGGGATCTTCATTCAGCAAGGTATAGTTACCACTATGATCATTCTATTCATTGTGAATTTTTAAGCCAACTCCTTCTAACAATATTCCCATTGATACTTATCCATTCCTTTAGCAAAAAGATCAACTAATTTTTCCTTAGACTTCATATAGTCAATGAAAATAATATCATTTGTGATCGACTGTTGATATGTATGATGAATACGTCTAAACTTACCTTTTTTTTAGAAGAAACACCCCAAAAGGGTGGGGGATTAAGGCCTAATCGCTAGCCTGCAAATAGTCAAGACCCTAATTGAGCTGAAAAAATCAAAAGTTTACACATGTTCAAACAACAAACAAAAACAAAAAAATGAAAAAAAAAAACAACCAAAATGAAAAGTTTGAACACGGGCTGACAAGTGCCCAGGCAAAGAATTTGGACCACAAAATGGGCCAAAACACAAAATATAAAAAGCGGTTATTAGACTCTGAAAGTAGGGTAACCGAGTGAAGTGCGGATCTGATGCGCATGAGCGGGTGCTGAATGTGCCATGAGCCTTGGTAGCCGAGTTCAAGAAGGTGGCGACAACAACAACATCTAGCTCAATCCAAATGTGAGTAGCGATAGGGGCTACAATCTGAAAACCGATCTGGAGCACTTGATCCTTTGCATCATAGCTCGAGGAGGCCTAAAGAGAGGCGTGGAAGGTGGTAATGTGAGTTCCGCCGTGATCCCTAATCAGGCCTCCACTCTAGCGACTCCGGTGAGTCGGTTGAAAGATCCGTCAGTGTTCAGCTTAACCAAAGGGAAGTCGGGTTGTTGTTGTTTTGAATTAACAACTCTAAATTAAAAGCAGTAGATGTCAAGAAAATAAAGATAAACGTTCAATTTGATTTTATTCGTTATATTCACAAGAGTACAGGAGTCGGTTATGTGTTGAAAACCGAGATCATTGGAAGTCCATGTACAATGTGTTCGAAAAAGATCCTCGTACTATCATAAATTCTGCTATTTATAGTACGGTGGTTTTTGTCCTCTTCCTTGAAATGGATAGAGATGCATTTAATATTGAGCTGCTTCACTTTGAGGCGGCGGGAAACATCAATGATTGCCTTTTTGTTTTGTTGGTCCAATCAGATGCTTCTAATGATTACTTTCTGTTGGAATATTCAAACTTCGTGATAGTCGGTTGAATTGTAAGCCGGTTTACTTGTGTTGGCTTTAGATGTCGGTTCTTTGTGAAGACGGTTCTTTTTGAAGACCTTTGAAAGTTGGATCTTTGAAAGTCGGTAATTCTTCAGAAGTCGGTAATTTGTTCCAATACATACCGACTTGTAGTAAGTTTACTTTCTTGCGAAATTATTTCTTCAATAATACGATTAATCTCCATCTTCAATCTCTGTTACTGGATTTGATATCAACAGTGAGGCCCCCAACATCAGTAAGCATTTGAAGCTTTTTAAATGGTTGCTGATGTCGTCTGTCGTTCCACTTTATTCCGACTTGTTTTGCATTGTTTACCGACATGAGAACACTTTGCTTTATTTGACACTCTTTGTATGGCATTTGATCTGACATGGCGGCTCTTAAAAGACGTGTTCGCATTAAATGGGTCCAACGGATATAAATTTATAACGACATGGCGTTTCAGGATGTAGCCACGTAGGTTAATAATTACTGTAACGTTATGTCCTTTGAAGACACGTCCGTTACACGCGCCGTTTCCGGATACTTCTAACGGTCATAAATCAAAACCTATAAATTAAAGTCGGTTTCGATGCGCGAAAAACTTCTGTACCTTAAACTTCTTGTGCTGTGTCTGTAATCTTTTTCTTTGAATATTTTCTTCGTGCACTTGCGCTTTTCGAAATCTTCCCGTCAATCTAAGGCTCTCAAAAGTGTCGGTAAGAATTTACCCTAATCCTTTCCGTTTTCTTGTTCTATTTCGAATTTTTTCTTTTTTGTTATCGATTTCGGAAGGAAAAAATGTCGACACGAACTGAGGATAGTAGTAGTAGGACGATTTCTGATATTCCGATTTTAACCGATGAGGATTTGGAATTGCCTCTTGAGTATTATCGATGGGATCCTCTGTTGGTGAAACAATTGAATCTTAATAAGGATATTATCGACGAGGATAAACGAGTTGAGGAGGACGCTATGTCGCTCCCAGATTATTGGAGACGTCCCGCTCGTCGGTGGCCTGAACTAATTGATGAATACCGGGGAGAACCAAGTATTCTTACGGACGCTGACATCGTCATTCTTCGAGAAGAGGTCTATGTTCCTTCGTCGGTTAAGTTATTCGCGCCTTATCCGGGCGAAAGGATTACCTGTCCGCCACCGGGTTGTGTTGGCGTGTTTGCCGACTCATTAAGGTCGGGACTTCGTTTTCCCCTGTCTGCGTTAATCACAGACTAT